ACGGCGCCCCTGAAAGTCCCGACCCTTTCCCCGGGACCGGTTTGTTCGTCCCGAGTCGCTTTGTTGACGGCCCCGAGGCCCAGTAAGGGACCCCCCGAGGCCGACAATAGCCAAAAACCGCCCGTCCTGATTTGTTTTACGACGCGAGCATGCCTGGGGATACCTCCAGCAAAATACTTCCAGCAGCGTGTCCTCCTACAGGCGGATGTTGGGCGAGACTTCAACACTGGTCCAAAAGCAGTCCAGAAGTAGACATGGCCAAAAATCATAGAAAACTCGTCCCCTGACTATCCTTTGACTGATTTTGAACTTTCCTCCTGTATACAGGACAGTGTTTTGATACATGGGATTGTTTAAAACATCGTATTTGTATTACATAACTAGTGTATGAATAAATGTAGGCATGAACTCCTCGTTGTTTTTACTACTAGACCCTGCATGTTTAATACATGAGCCGCACGCGGAGCATGTATGAAAAACGGCACGGTAGGGTAAAACAGGGCAAGGATCGGGATAAATCGCTCCAGAGCGTTCCAGAGCGCTCTCAGAGCGTCCCGGAACGCTCTGGAGCGGCCGCGGCGCCCAATACAACCTCCAACCCCGCCGATTCTCAGAGATTTCGAGTTATCCCGATCCGATGTTGTCCCGATATTCGCGTCGTTTTAGCATGAACTCCTCGTTGCTTTCAATCCTAAACCCTGCATTTTTAATACATGATCCGCACGCGGAGCATGTATGGCGCGGACTGTGCTCTGCTGCTCTCTTTTCTCGCCGCAGTGTTGGGCGCGTGAGGCCGTGGGCGCCCCTCCTCCGCCCCCCTCCCCCTCCTCCTCTTCCTCCGCCTCTTCGTTCTCTCCTAAGCTGGCCCTTGTTTTTAATACTAAACCCTGCGCTTTTGATCCTCCGAAACGGCACGGTAGGGGGACACGCCCGACTTCGAGACCTGCACGTCGCCGACGCGGGCACGCCCGACGGACTCGCGGCCTGCCGGCCTGCGCCCGGCCCCGAGGCCGCGGCGGCCCCGCCGCCGGAGCCCCCCGCCGCCGCCGCCGCCGCGGGCGCCTCCTGCAGGTTCACCACCTTCGGGAGCTGGATCCTCCTCCTCGATCCTCCTCCTCGATCCTCCTCCTCGATCCTCCTCCTCGATCCTCCTCCTCGATCCTCCTCCTCCGTCCTCCTCCTCCGCCTCCTCCTCCTCCTCCTCCTCCTCCTCGATCCTCCTCCTCTCTTCGATCCTCCTCCTCCTCTTCTTCTTCTGCTTCTTCTTCTGATTCCTCTTCTTGTTCCTCCTCCTCCTCCTCGTCCTCCTCCCCCTCCTCCTCGATCCCCCTCCCCTCCTCCTCCTCCTCCTTCCTCCTCCGCCTCCTCCTCCTCCTCCTCCTCCTCCTCGATCCTCCTCCCTCCTCCTCCTCTCGATCCTCCTCGATAGATCCTCCTCCTCCTCCACCTCCTCTCCTCTCCTCCTCCTCCTCCTCCTCCTCCTCTCCTCCTCTCCCCTCCTCCTCCTCCTCCTCCTCGATCCTCCTCCTCGATCCTCCCCCTCCCTCCTCCACCTTCTCCTTCTCCTCCTCCTCCGCCTCTTTCTCCTCCTCCTACTCCCAGGTGGCCACCTTCGGATGGAGGAAAACTTCGGGAGAACTCGGGAGAGACCGACCCGCTACCGTCAAGTCAAGAAGGAGCAAGGATCCCTGGAAGAGATGAGCGGCCGCTCTGCATAGGCGCCCTCGTTTCTGTTACGAGCTTGGGAGCCGCGCTCGCGACGAACGAATGGCCGCCACATGGTGTCCGAACATCTGCTATCCGAATTTTCGGAACGTGGGCGCCTTCGGCTGGTTTGCCGTCTCCGGGAGGATGAGATTTTCGGGAAAGATCGGGAGCATTCGGCGACGACGTGGTCGAGAAACGCCAGCGGGGACATGGTGCCATCTCGGGACCTCCTGGGGCCCACGGTTCGCCACCTTTGGGAGCAGGAACATTTGAAACAGTTCGGGAGAGATCGGGAGAGATCGGCGACGACGAGGTCGCTCGAGCGTCCAATGGCCAGCGTGGAAACAGAGTATATAAACTGGTGCTGTCGGAGGCAAACACGGTGGTGCGTCAATGGCATATCCGCCCCTGCTTCCAGCAATTGTAAGTAGCTGTCCAATCATGTCTGGAAGGAGGAAGGGATGAAGGAGGTCGAGAAACGCCAGCTGGGACATGGTGCCATCTCGGGGCATCCTGGGGCCCCTGGTGTGGCCCATGCTTGCCTTTTTAGAGAGGCACAAAGTCACCCACTTACGGTTCCTGGTCGGGGGGGTGCAAAATTCGAATAGGCCCTTAACACTCCCCCATTCGACGCTTTGGGAGGGCACTATAGAGCGATTCTCGCCCACCGGCACCGGCACCGGCACCGGCACCGGCACCGGCACCGGCACCGGCACTGGCACCGGCCACCGGCACCGGCACCGGCACCGGCACCGGCACCGGCACCGGCACCGGCACCGGCACCGGCACCGGCACCGGCACCGGCACCGGCACCGGCACCGGCACCGGCACCGGCACCGGCACCGGCACCGGCACCGGCACCGGCACCGGCACCGGCACCGGCACCGGCACCGGCACCGGCACCGGCACCGGCACCGGCACCGGCACCGGCACCGGCACCGGCACCGGCACCGGCACCGGCGCCGTCGCCGTCGCCGGCGCTGTCGCCGGCGCCGGCACCGGCACACCCGCAACCGCACCGGCACCAGCACCGGCATTGGCACCCGCACAGGCACCAGCTGATGAACATCATTGAACATCATGACATTTCCCAAACAGTGTTTGCATTTAGGGGGCCTTCTTTCTTTCCTAGTAGATGGGTCTGAGGGGCGGTCTGGCGGCTCTCTCCTCGCCGTTGCCGCCCTGTCGCTGCCCGTCGTCTGGGCTTGAGGGGCGGTCTGGTTTTTCCGTCCTTGCCGTCGCCCCCCCTTGCTGCGTCGTCGCCGCCCGTCGTCTTGGCCTGAGGGTCGGTCTGGCGGTTCCTTGCTCGCCGTCACCGTCCCGTCGCCGCCTCCTCGTCGCTGCCCTGTGCGCCCCCCCAGCGGTTCCAGTCCAATCGATTGCAAGCCAATCAAGTGCAAACCCAGTGGAATCGATTGCAGTCCAATCAATTGTAAATTATGCAAACGGAGTTCCCCACATAAAGATAAACGGTTTCGTGGGACCCATGGTGTACGACAGCATCAACACGAAGGAGAAGCTCATCGAACGAGTAAGTACGCACGAAGAGGGCAGACGAAAGAAAGGAGGAGGGAGGACAGGTGTTCAGGAAACGAAGCCTTGTAAATAGTACGGGTTCTTGATACCCTCCTCGCTCTGGCGGGGCCCCGCTGGAAGGTGGGAGGCCTACGAAACCTGGTAAAGAGTAATGCTGTTCGCGACCCTCCTCCTTCAAGCGAGTCCTCCTCCTCGTCCTCCTCCTCCTCGTCCTCCTCATCCTCGGCATCATCATCATCATCATCATCATCATCATCATCATCATCATCACCATCACCATCACCATCACCATCACCATCACCAGCATCGTCGTCGTCATCATCAGCATCATCGTCATCATCATCAGTATCATCATCATCATCAGCATCATCGTCAGCATCATCGGCATCATCATAACCATCATCATCATCATCATCATCCTCATCATCATCATCAGCATCATCATCATCATCATCGTCAGCGCCATCGTCATCATCATCATCATCATCATCATCATCATCATCATCGTCGTAGCCACCATCGTCATCATCATCATCAGCATCGTCATCATCATCATCACCGTCCTTGGCATCATCATCGTCCGCATCATCGTGGACGTCACGATCATCAACATCATCGTCGTCATCATCATCAACAGCACCAGCAACGTCAGCATCAGCAGCGGCATCGTCATCATCACCAGCATCTGCATCATCATCATCATCATCGTCGTCGTCGTCGTCGTCGCCATCGTTGTCATCATCATCATCATCGTCATCATCATCAGCATCATCACCATCATCATCATAATCACCGTTATCGTCATCGTCCATCACCATTATCGCCATCGTCATCGTCATCGTGAACAGCAGTATAACCATCGTCATCACCATCATCATGACGAAACCTTCCTCATCGCAGAACTCCCCCTCCTCCTCGCCCTCCTCAGTGGGAGGAGTAAGACGTGAGATGGATAGGTAATGTTCTCTTCCTCCTCACCCATGTCAGTGGGAGGGGCACGAAACCACGTAAATAGTGTCGGTTTCCGATACCCTCCTCGCTCAGACGGGGCCGCCCCGGAGAGGTGGTAGGGGCACGAAACAGGCGGGGCCTCCCTGGAGGGATGGGAGGGTTTCGAAACCATGTAAACAGTATGGGTTTCCGATGCCCTCCTCGCTCAGGCGGGGCCTCCCTGGAGAGGCGGGAAGGGCACGAACCATGTAAATAGTATGGGTTTCCGATACCCTCCTCGCTCAGGCGGGGTCTCCCTGGAGGGATGGGAGGGGCATGAAACAATGTAAATACTATGGGCTTCCGGTACCCTCCTCGCTTAGGCGGGGCCTCCTTGGAGGGGTGGGAGGAGCGCGAAACCATGTAAACAGTATGGGTTTCCGATACCCTCCTCGCTCAGGCGGGGCCTCCCTGGAGGGGTGGGAGGGGCGCTGGGAGGCGGGGGGCGGGAGGGAAAAGGAGAGGATGTTCTGGGAAAACAAGACCCCCACTCAGGATGTGGGGAACAACTCGATTGCAGTCCAATCGATTGCAGTCCAATCGATAACAAATTCATGCATTGCAAGAACACGGCGACAAACATTACCAGTATCATTATCACCAAAGAGCCTGTACCCGGCGACGCCAGGGCGTACAAGAAACGTGTCGATGCTGATTCCAGTCATCGGGATTTTTGGCTGTTGTCAAAGAGTTTCGGCGTTTCCGTTTTGTGGCTGCGGAAGTGGCGGTGCCGCCTGTTGGTTCACCGTTCCTCTTTCATGGGCGAGGCTACCATCTTCCGCATGATGCACGGCCCAGGCGTGCTCGCGCGGGCAAGGGCGAACTTGAGTTCCACTTGGGTGCGGCAGCTTTTGTGGAAGCGATGCCAGAAGGGGGCACCCGAGAAATTTGACGAGTTGGCAAAAGTTTTGCTGTGTCTCTCCGTTGAGGCCCTGGTGCAGAAGAGTTGGCGCTGGTACGGGCCGTTGAGGTTCCGCCGGCGTTTGGAGCAGGTCCGTTGGTCTGGAGACCGCGCAGACATTCTTGCCATCGATGGAAACGCCAAGTTGTACCGCCGAGCGTGCGGCATGCCTTTCTCTCACGTGGTCTACTGCGCCGAGCTGGACAAATACCTTTTGCGAGGGTGCCCAGACCGTCCGCATGGGAAGGGGACGATGTGCTGCAAGCGTGCCAAGGCGTTAGTGGCTGACCCGCCAGCGCCGCACGAGACTGTATGCAACCACCGGTTGCGCCGAGCCCTGCATGGGCCAGATGATTGGTCCCCCCTGGAGGTGCAGCTGAAAGGCTTTGCGCGTCGCTGGCAGCCCGCGTGCGCTGTCTCTCCAGATGCGCTGGGGCTGACGCGCGCATCCAAGCGCGCCGGGCTCGCCGCATGGCGCTTCGAAAGCAGGGCGCGGCTGGCAAGAAAGGGCGCAAAGAAAAGAGCTTCATGGCATCCTGGAGCTCGAACGGGCCACGCGCCGCTTCCGAGTGTTCCACGCGCAAGGAGACGGTCGCGCACATCGTTGCAGCCGCCCGCGCAGCGGGCTTCCTGACGGCCGTATCCGCGTCTGGCATTCTGGCGCACGTGGAAGAGCTCATGTGCGCTGAGCCCCTCAGCCAGCGGTACCGATTCCTCGCCATAGTGGCGGCCCACATGCCCGACCTCAAGATTGTCGTCCACGACGACAGCGTGCCACCTGCGCCTCATGGCGGAGAAGAACGGGGAGGGCACCGCCGTGGCTGCGCGGTTGGCAACCGAGACGGCGTACATTGTCGACGATTACCATTCCAGCGGGCACGTGGGCAAGTGGTGCAGCGAACATTGCCTGCCGGGGCTGGAGGCCAACAGCCTTGTTGAGCAAGTTCCCCACAAACATCTGCGAAATCATGAACAGCGAGTTGTCCCCGCTGGGCCACGTGATCCACCGCATGGGCCGGTGGGCCTCCCAGTTCTACGTGCAAGAGATGGTGGGCGCGTTGAACATGAAGACGCTGGGGCGCATGAGGGGCGCCCAGGCCACTGCCGCCGGGAAGGTAGCTCGGGCGAGCGAGGCCGCCTCGGCCTCGGCCGAGAAGAAGCCGAGACAGCTCTGATGCACGGGGCCTCTCGCGGCCTCTCCTTCCTGCCAACGTTCGGATCATGGGTCGGGCGAGGGGCGCGGGGTGCGACGGGGGAAGGGATGGGGCGAGGGGCGAAAATGCACTCGAAAGCTCCTGGGGCTTCCTCAGAGCTTCGCGGCCCTGTCTTGGAGATTTCTGGAGGCCGTGGGAGTTCGGCTGCGCGCGTCGTGCTTTCCGTCGCCCTGCAATAGCCAGGGCCTCGGGCGCGGTTTTGGAGCGTGCAGCGGGGTTATCGCCCCCCCGCAGGTTTGGGGAATTTGGCCGATCGTGAAAAAAAGCGTGGCAGACGGCCCATGACGGCCCATCGATCTGACGCGGCGGGCGCGAGGAGGTCGGGCCGCTGCTTTTGCACCCGCGCGAAGATGCCGATTCGAAGGCGAGACAAAGGCCCCAGCTTCGCTGCCCCGCTGCGAGGTTCCATCTGCCAGCCTCGCACGCAGCGCCCTGGCTCAAAGTTCCCCCTTCGTGGGATTGCCGCAGCGAGTCCTGCAGGTCACACTCGCGACGCGACCGCGCCGTCACGCACTGCGCGGCCATGGCAGGGAAGAACGCGGAGAGTCTGTCCCAGAAGCAGGTGAAGAAACTCTTTGCGAGGGCGATGGCTCGCGTCGCCAGTGAGTTCAGCCCGGCGGAGCACCTCCCCCCTAAGGTGCGCGAGTTCTTGGAGCCCATCGTTAACACAACGTGCCAAGGGTATTGCACGAGCGCCTTGATGGTTGGAGGCTCCATGGCGGCTCTTACAAATGGCGCCGCCGTCAAGATATGGAGCCAGAAGCCCACTCCATTAATTGCACCAGTGTTCCAGATAGGGAACGCACAGGCGGGGAAGAGCCAGCTTTTCAGTGTGTGCGAGGAGATCTTCGACACGTGCGACGACGTCATTGGCGAGCACGTCGACTCGCTCCTCGACGACGGCCCCCCCGTGACCGTGAAGAGTATCTGTCTCCAAAGCTTCACTTTCACGGAAATCTTTTACCGGTGCTCCAGCGGCTTTCCCCTCGTTGATTTTTCGGAGGGCGACGGGCGGGTTGCCGAGTTCAGGCAATCAGATGTGTGGGGCGGCAGGGCGTTCAATCTAGACGAGGCGTACGAGTTCTGGGACGGCCTCGGCCTTCTCGCTACCGGCCGCGGAGGAGGAGGTGGAGGAGGAGGAGAGAAGGATCGGGCGCCGACGGTCCACGCGTCCACCTTGAACACTTTGATCGCGAGTGGCAAGACGAGACGGGCAACTCGCACAAGCGCGACCTTCGGCGAGTCTCGCGGCAAACGCGTCTCGGTGTCTCTGCTCGGCAACGGACATCCTGGGAAATTCATAGCCATGGACAGGGGGATCGTGGGTAACCACACGGCGTGCACTAAGGAGCGCTTCGTCGCCTGCATTGACCAGGCCGCTGCGCGCCGCGCTGCGCTGCCCGCGGGGAGTCGCCTCCCGCGCGGCGTCTCCGCGTGGGCGTGGCTGCCGCTCGCCCCCCAGCAGGCGCAGACGTTCAACTGGGAGACATACCTTGACGCCCCTGAGGCCGCGGCCCAGTATTTGGAGAGGGACACCGAGACGGGCGAGGCGTCGGCAGCAAATTCCCAGGCTCGCAGTTTCGTGGGCCCGGCTGGCGGATGCAAGGTGGAGTTCCCAGATGGCGAGGAGTCCCGGTTGCGATACCTGCGGGTTACCCCGTCCGGCGTAGGCGACGCGCAGCTGCGGACCGAGTTCCGAATTTCTAACAGGGGGGACCTGCCGGACCCCGCGGGCCACATCCAAGCGGGGGCCAGGAGGGTTGCAGAGCTTTTCACCAAGAAGCCGCAGGCGATCTTGCCGTTCGAGGAGGAGGCGCGCAATATCCTGACGGGCAACCAAGTGGCACAGAGCATCCGCGCGCAGTTGCGAGGAGATCAGAGAGCCAAAAACGTTGAACCCCAGCTGCGAGTGCAACCTGGGGTGCGGGTTTCTCCTTGCCACGAGACCATCACCCTGGGTTGCGCTCATTTCGGTTTTCGACAACCGTCATGCGTGGTTGCACATCTTTCGTTCGTTGTTTTTCGACGTAGGAAGGAACCTTCACCCTTGGTTGCACGTGTAATTTTTCAGGTGGTTCACCTGGGGTTGCACATCTAGGTTTCCCCAGGAACCTTCACCCCAGGTTGCGCACGCATCTGGGGTTGCACGTTTTTCGCCACCCGAGGAGACGACGATCCTACTTTGGCTGCGCTGGAGGCCAACGCCGCGGGCCAGCAGGGCGTTCAGGCTGCTCTCGTTGCCGTGCTGGATTACTCTGGAGGCGGGGGCACCTTGGACGCGGCCTCGGGGTTGCCGCTCATCACCACCCAGCACGTCCAGTGCGCCAGGCGCATGCTCGACATCAGCATTGCCATCCGGACCATATGGCGAGCTGCTCTGGACGAAGACGGTGCACCTGGCTTCTTTGCAAAGGCAGAGCCGACGCCCCATCCGCATCAACATATATACCGGAGAAAAGCCCAATCCTATTGTTTGGGGGCTATGGGGCTATGAGGGTATGGGGCTAGATGGGCTATATGGTCTATTGGGCTGCTGGGCTAGAGGTCTATAGGGCTCTTGGGCTAGAGTGCTATAGGGCTGTGGGGCCATAGGGCTATAGGGCTATTGTGCTATAGGGCTATTGGGCTATAGGGCTATTATGCTATAGGGCTATATATACAAGGTTATATGCGCTATTTGGGCCATTGGGCTAAAGGGCACTATAGGGCTACAGGACTATAATGCTATAGTGCTAAAGGGCTATAGGGCTATAGGGTTAAGGGGCTATAGGGCCATAGGGCAAGAGGGCAAGAGGGCTATAGGTCTATAGGGCACTATCGGAATATAAGGCGATCGAACTATATGGCGATTGTGCTATGGGGCTATAAGGTTCCTGGGCACCCAGGCACCCTGGCCTGGCCACCGAAATCGGCGACGACGCACCCGGGCATCGGGACACCCGGGCACCCGGCCCCCTGCCACCGTAATCGGCGCCCCACCTCACCTAACCATATGAATCCGCTAGGACCCCTACAGAGGCAAGCTCTGATTGGGGAATGCGGAATGGTCGTGCGCGGGCCCCGGCTTGGGTCAGTGTGTTGGGGTGAGGGTGTGGGTGAAAGGAGCGGGTTTCGGGTGTTTGGGTTAGGGTGTCAGGATTAGTGCGTTACGGTGTCTGAGTTAGGTTCATGGGGCTTTGGATTCAGGGTTAGGGTGTTAGTGAGAGGGTGTGAGGGTGTAAGGGTTAGGGTGTTTGGGTTTCGGGCTTATGGTTCGGTCTAGGGTGTTCGTGGTTGGGCTAAGGTGTTATGGCCAGGGTGCTAGGTTTGGGACTGGGATGTTCGGGCTCGGGTGTTGTGTTCAGGTGAGGGTGTGAGGGTTAGGGTGTTCGACTTAGGGGGTGTGGATGTTCGGTTAGAGTCAGGGTGTGGGGAAACGTGTGGTAGGGTTCGGGCGTTGGGGCCAGGGTGCTATGGCGAGAGCAAGGGTGTTCGGGTTAGGGTGTAAGGGGTAAGGAGTTAGGGTTCGAGTGTCAGGGTTCGGGTGAGGGCGTCACGGTTGGTGTATTAAGGTTTGGGCCAGGGTGCGTTAGAACTTGAATGATATGACTGGGACCATGGATACGGTGCTCGGGCTCTTTTCGGGTTCGCATTAGGGTACGGTTAGGGTGTTCGCGTCAGGGTGTTAGGGTAACGGTGTTTTGATTGTGGTGCTGCTGTGAAGGTGGTGGGGTTATGGTGAAAAGCTAAGGATGTTAGGTTTCGAGCGTTACGGTTAGGGCTAGCGCGCTCGGGTTTAGGCGGGGTCAGGGTTCAGTTTCGGGGGGGGGGTCTTAGGGCTAAGGTGTTAGGGTTTGTGTGTTGGGGTTATGGTATGGTGCTAGCGTCAGCGCGTTAGGGGCACGGTTAGTGATAGGGTTACTGTGCCAGGGTTAGGGTTTGAGGGGTTCGGTGTTATGGGGCCAGGGTTCGTGCGTCAGGATGAGGGTGTTAGGGTTCGGGTCAGGGTGTCAGGGTTACGGGGGTTAGGGTGGGGGTCTTAGGATTCGGGTGTTGGAGGAGGAGGTGTTAGGCCAGGTCGACCCCCTCCCTCCTTGAATTGCGCGCCCGCAGGCGACGCTGCCGACGGCGAGAGCGACGGCGACAACGAGCCAGGGCGTTTGGCGCGCCCTGTTCGGGGTCACTATCACCCTCATGCGTGCGCCGCGCCGCTCTCCACGTAGGTGCCAGCTTGCCCGGCGGCGCCCCAGGGCCCGGTTCCCGCTGGCGGCCTGGTGGCTGACGTTGCGCGCCCTGCCGCGCGGGCTGGCGGCGGCAATGTCGACGTCTCGCAGCCCGCCAGTCTGGGCGCCGCGGAGAGCGATCTGGCCGGTGCCCCCCCGACAGGAGGCGAGGCGCCGGGCTCGGGCGAGCGCGCGCTGACGTTCGCGGACTTGGCGGGCGAGGCGCAATTCGACAATCAGGGCCTTGGCGAAGGGGGGGCCATGGTTTTCACGAAGGCAGCTTTCAAGGACAGAGAGCTCATCCGTCGTGTGCTCCTGACCGGGAAAAGCCAGATTTCCGTGAACGCCTGCGTCGACCTCTACAGCGTGGCCGTGTCGGACCAAGAGGCCCCCGCAAAGCGGAAGAGGCGAGCGCGCCCGTCCAAGCCCGAAGCGGTGGCGGTGCTTAAGGCGGCCTTCGAGCAGTTCCCGCGCCTGGGGGAGTGCCAGGAGCAGAACGGCGAGGTGTTTCTCAAGGGCTGGCCCGACTCAGAACTTGGGAGGACGCTCTTCCACGACGAGCTCATGCGCTGCTGCCGCGTGTCACTGAGGCAGCTGTCACAGAAGCGCGCCCAGTTCCACGAGGGGCGCCCGCAGCTCGCTGACGCGACGCCGAGCCGCGCGGCCGGCCCCCCCGCGCAGCCCCCGCCTTCGCGCGGCGCCCGGGCGAGTGACGCCGGCGCTGCCCCTGACGCCCAGTGCTTCTGGCGCCGCGGAGCCGGTCGCGATGGGCGCTTCGCAGGGCTTGCGCCCGCCAGCTCCGAGCACGCCGCCTGGCGGCTTGCATTAGGCGGGGGGGTTGGGGACAGGCGGAGGGGCCAAGCAGAGGGGGGATGGAGCGTCGAGCCTCATCAGGCTTAGTAGGATGAGTCGGAAAACCTCTATAAGATCAGTTTTGCTTTGCCCGCATGCGCCCGCTCATACGTATTTTAAGCAGGAGCACTAGAGCTCGAGTTCGAGCGCGCTAGATCAGGCGGAGTTGGAGACTCCAGGGCTGGATCTGTCCAGCTCGCCCACACCTGAGTAGCATTTAGCTTCAGATCTGCAGAATTACGTGCATGCTGCGCACGTTTTGCAACGCGTGCTTTGGCATATGTCGCGCATAAATCATGTTTGAACTAGTCCACCCAGGCACTTCTATGATTAAATAATGCCCTTCCCCTGGGGAACGGCCTCCGCCGCCCGTCGATGATGCCCCCCGCACTTTAGGGCCCCGCCCACTTTAGGGCCCCGCCCGCCAGTCAATGATGCCCCCCCCACTTTAGGGCCCCGCCCGATCCGCCCGTTAAAGTCAGCCCGCCCGATTCGCCCGACCGTCCTTTAGGGTCCGCCCGCCTGTCCCGACTCGCCCGCTCATAGGCGCGTAGATTTCGAGGAGGAAAACGACGACGAGGAAGGTGATGACGATGAGTTGGAGGAGGAGGAGGAGGAGGAGGAGGAGGAGGAGGAGGAGGAGGAGGAGGGGGAGGAGGAGGAGGAGGAGGAGGAGGAGGAGGAGGAAGGGGAGGAGGAGGAGGTGCTTGCGGCAAGTCCCGCCACCGTGTCACCCTAGCATTCTTGATTGCGAGTGTGCGAGGGGGCACGGGAGGCCGTCACGCGTGACACCTCGGGCCTTGGGGACTCCGTGGCGTCTTGGCAGCGTCCCGCGGGGGGGAACTTCGGAAGCTCCTTGGGGCCCCCTGGCGCGGCCGTCTGGCGTTTTCGGAGTCCGTCTTGGTGGGTTTTCTGGGTCGTCTTGGGGCTCTCTGGAGGCCTTCAGGGCCGTCTGAGGACCTCCTTGGGCCGAGTTGGTGTCCTTTTGGGTCCCTCCCTGGCCATCTTGGAGCCCCCTTGGGTCGTCTTGGATCCTTCTCTGTGTGGGCCGTCTTGGGGCCAGTGCCGGTGCCGGTGCCAGCGGTGCTGGTGTCGACACCCAGCACCGCGCACTGGCACCGGCACCGGCGCCGGCCCCAGCCACGGGCCACTGGCCACCGGCACCGGCCACAAGCACCGGCCACCGGCACCGGCACCGGCACCGGCGCTGGCACTGGCCACCGGCCACCGGCCACTCGCCACCGGCACCAATACTGGCACCAGCACCGGCTACCGGCCACAGGCGCCAGCCACCGGCACCGGCACCAGCCACCGGCACCGGCACCGGCACCGGTACCGGCACCGGCACTGGCACCGGCACCGGCACCGGCACCGGCACCGGCACCGGCACCGGCACCGGCACCGGCACCGGCGCCGGCACCGGCACCGGCACGGGCACCGGCACCGGCACGGGCACCGGCACCGGCACCGGCACCGGCACCGGCACCGGCACTGGCACCGGCACCGGCACCGGCACCGGCACCGGCACCGGCACCGGCACCGGCACCGGTACCGGCGCCGGCACCGGGGCAAGAATCGTTCATGCCTTTTGGGAGGGAGGAGGGAGGAGGAGAAGGAAGATGAGGAGGAGAAGGAGGATGAGGAGGAGGAGAAGGGGGATGGAGGGAGGGGGAGATAGGAGGAAGAGGGGCACAGACACCTGGCGCGTCGACCTCCTCCCCAACACGTCCTCAAGTCGCGAATAAAAAGACTCGACGGGCAGTGTTTCCTCGTTTCGCCCCATTGTCGATCACTGTCATCATCAGCATCATCATCAGCATCAGCATCATCATCAGCATCAGCATCAACATCAGTATCATCATCATCATCATCATCATCATCATCATCATCATCATCATCATCATCATCATCATCATCATCATCAGCAGCATAATCATCCTCATCCTCATCCTCATCCTCATCATCATCATCATCATCATCATCATCACCATCCTCATCAGCAGCAGTATCATCATCATCATCATCATCATCATCATCATCATCATCATCATCATCATCATCATCATCATCATCATCATCATCCTTATCACCATCACCACCAGCATCAGCATCATCATCTTCTGCATCATCGTCACCATCGCCATCATCATCAGCATCATCATCATTCTCATCAGCATCATCATCATCATCATCGTCGTCGTCATACTCATAAGCATCACCAACAGCAGCATCAGTATCACCATCAGCAGTAGCAGCACCATCATCATCACCACCACCATGATCATCATCATCATCATCATCATCATCATCATCATCATCAGCATCTGCATCATCAT